CACAACAACAAGACACAACATAGTTATGCTGCATCAACAAGGTCTCACTCCAGGAAGTGGGATGCAGAAATAGAAATTAGTCAAATTAGTCAAAAATGTAAATTGTTGTCGTGGCCCGTGGTGTAGTGGACGGCGCAGGACATGTTTGCGCGGTTGCGCAGGGCAACGCAGGTTCGAGTCCCGAGCCTGTTGTCTTTCCCATCCCGCCCCATTCTCTCTCCGCCTTTCTTCCTGTCTCTCTCCACTGTCCTATCTGTTGAAATGTAAAACAACAATAAATATATATATATTTTTAAATGTAAATTGTTGTAACAGGAACATTGCATCCTTTAAGGAACGTGGGTGGCTTTAAATGTTATACATGCATACCTCTTTTGTTAGAGTCTTGGCTGATATTTCGCAAAGGAACAATGGTGAGTGCAATATCTATGGCGATTTCCTAACAACCAGAAATGGGGAGTAACACACTTTTTTTTGTACTTGAGTGAATTTTTGCAGTAACTAACACCTTTTATGTCAATTTAATGTTGTGGGAGTTAAACTGAAGATCTAAATTAACTGCGAAAGCGTCCAAGCTCAGTTTTAAAAACAACTTCAATTAAACTTCAATGTTTTTTTTTTGTTTTTTTTTACATTTTTGGTATTTTTAACCTTATGGTCACACCAAATTCCATTTAACGGTATACCTCCAAATCACAGTGACATAAAGAACTGCATTAAAAGTTTTATGCAACTCTAACAAAGAGCCTTATGTGTATAACATTTAAAGCCACTTAAAGAAATTTGGTAAGGAACAGAGTTCAGGGATGCATCTGATTGGCCCAAATTTATTAACAATCACAATGACCCAAGGGGGGGGGGGTCCATTAAACTCGTTTCCTGTTGTTCAATGATTAAAATGAATAATTAATGCTTCCATTTCTGAAGACATTCTTACTTCATAACCTTTTCACACCTGCATGAAACTTATATCACTGTGATTTGGAGGTATACCATTAAAATCCATTTGGTGTGACGATAAGGTTAAAAATACTAAATGTAAAAAAACAATTGAACTTAAATTGTAATAAATTAGGGAGAACATTTTTAAAACTGAGCTTGGGCGCTTTCACATTTAAATTAGATCTTCAGTTTAATTCTCACAACATTAAATTTACATAAAAGGTGTTAGTTACCGCAAAAATTCACTCAAGTACAAAATAAGTGTGTTACTCCCCATTTCTGGTTGTTAGAACGCCGCCTTAGATATTGCACTCACCATTGTTCCTTTACAAAACATCCGCCCAGACTCTAACAAAGAGCTTTGCATGTATAACATTTAAAGCCACTCACGTTCCTTAAAGGAGACAAAGTTTCATGCAATGTTGATTCATTCAAACAACTTCCAAAAAGCAAAACAGGAAGCTTACGTCCTCTTTGGGCGGTGTGCAATGAGGCATGATGCTAGGACAGTGGCCAAGTTTACTCCAGCCGTTCTCTCTAATGCAAAGTTACTGTGTTCCTGGTTCAGTGTGCACTAGAGAAGACGAGTGGCTAGTTATGCCGCTGGTCATGTCAGAAATCTTTCCAGTACACATCAAACGACTCATGTCAAATCTTCTGACACTTCGATATATAGTAAAGTACAAAAATAATGCCCTCTACGATGACTAAAAGAAGCACATTGGGTCTTTTTGAAGAAATTTGTGGATTGATGAGTGTCCTGTGTTTCTGTGAGGAGTTATTTGAGCAATTTTCTCAAAAATAAATCGTCCCCAATGTAGAGCCCAGTGGCACCTCGTGGGCTTTGACATAGAGTTACAGTGCCAGAAGTCATCTGCTTGTGCCTTTTTAAAAAACATATTCTCACCTTCTCAAAATGGCCTTCACCCAAACCCATTCATTGCCTTTCATGCACTATTCATGAGATCCATAACTGAGAAAATGTAATCTCCCTGTGCGTTAATGACTTTATTCAAATATGATAGTGGCATCACCACATAATAGAGGTTGGGGGTTGTTGTGATCTCTGGGGTTAGAGTTCATCATAAATGTAAGAAGTGGACCCGGGATGGCTACCCTATAAAACCCCCAAGCACTCACTGCTCCGTCGACCCGCTTTTTCATTTCATGTGGAAAAACAAACTAATTACGTGGAAATATGATAATTTGTTGTGCTGGAGGAGTTGCCTATTACTCTCATTAGGAGTCCATGCAACCCTGCTTGATTCCTTGCTCTAATCCCTCTCTCTCTCTTCTACCACTCTTCTAGCATGGGTTATTTCTCCCAGGGAGTGCTGCCCTTTCACGAGCATTGAACATTAGTGACCAGTCTGAGGCACTTTGCATCAACGTCAACCTTATTTGCATAATCATCAGATTGCTTCCTTGTTTCTGCCAGTGATGGTCAACATCTCTCATGATTCCTACACACAGCTCTCCTTATAGCAAGCAAGTAGCTGAAACACTGACTCCCAGGGGAATATTGTGGGTAGAGCTCTAGTTTTGGTGTACCTGTGTAACTGTTACCAGGCATCCATCTCATTTAAATAATTTGTGTTCTTTACAATCTCCAGAGAAGGCAGATGAACTTCGGGTTACTTATTGAGCAAATCTGATCCGGACTATCTTAAGCAAATGCTTCCATCATAATGACAACAGAAACTTTCTAAATCACCCCGATCAAAGGTTTACACACCCTGGAGATTTTGGTTTGATAACCTGCACAAAATCTGACACAAAAGGATCCTCACCAGCGACCTGTTTGCTTAGAATCAATCTTCTGATTCTAAAAGTTTTCGCAGAAAAGGTTTCTGGGCTCCTGATAGTCCCTTGCCTCTTTCATCTAGTGACGTGCTGACATTTCTGAGCAATGGAGAATGCAAAAGAGCCATGAAAGGATCTATTTGTGAAAAAAGTAGCTGAACAAAACAGAAAAGGGATATAGAAAGATCTCCAAGGAACTGGGAATGCCAATAAGCTGTGTTCAAACTCTGATGAAGAAGTGGAAAGTGAGGGATTTTTTTGGAACAAGCAAAAATTTCTGCTACAACCGGCAGAAAAATTGCAAGGGATGCAAAAAAAAACACACCGACAAACAACTTCAGCTGAAATACAGGGCTGAAAAAAATGTGTCAAGGAGACACTTAAAGAAAAATTGGTTGCCTTGTCGACTTGATAGAAGAAAGTCATTTCTACGAAAATGCCCCCAAGAAGCTACAATATGCTAAATAACATGAATGGAACACTATGCGCACTGTGAAGCATGGACTTGGGTCACTGATGTTTTGGAGCTTCAAAGGCAATGGAGACATGCTGAAAATTGATGGGAAGAGGAACGCAGCATGTTCTCAAAGGATACTGGAGGAAATCATCGGCTTGGAAGCTGCTCATGGGACGTTACTGGCCATTCCAAACCGACAACGATCCAAAACACAAGGAAACGTCTACCTGTTATTGGTTCCACCAGAACAAAGTAAAGGTTCTGGAGTGGATCTGATCTCAATATCATTGAAGCACTCTGAGGAGAGCTCAAAGGTGGCGTTCATCCAGAACAGCCCAAGAATTTATAAGAGTTGGAGGCTTTTTGAGGAGAAAAAGAACCTCATCAATAACTACCTCAAGAGACTTCAGGTTGTAATTGATGTTAAACTTTTGAAAACAAGCAGCCTTTTTAAAAGCTTGTTACTTCCTGTTTGTGATGTATTTCTTGTTCTGTCTCAGAAAACAAAAATAGGATTATACTTTTTATTACAACATAAATAACTAGTTTGGTGTAGAAATGTAACATCTTCCTGCAAAATATAAAATATTGTACCTTTATGGTCGGATTCTGTGACACTTAATAAACTTTACAACTTTATCAAAGAAAGTTATTTCTTTTTCGCGCAAATTCCATGATCCCCTGATACACCTTTCAAAGAAGTGTCTCGAGTTCAAAGATTCACGACTGGCAAAGGTTGTGCAGAAAATGTCTGCCATTGGGCTTGAGGGTCAGAAAACATGCCAGCATCCAAATCCTTGAACTGTTGATTAGCAGAAGCACCATCACCTTATCTGATCCTGTGATTGGGAGGCGTTAAATCAACATCCTGAATTCCAATAAAGTTGCATTAACTGTTAATTAAAAAATATCTTCCTGCTGTGCAGTGATGCACTCACGCCAGCGCGCTGCTAATCATTTCACTAGCATAGATCTGTTTTTAGAGATCCAGTCACTTCATGCACTGTTCAGCCCTGACCATCTTCCTATTATGCATTTTTTTCTTTTATCTCACCACCTGATATGAAATATTTGAACCTATTGACGTAGACCCCATATGCACATGCTAATCAAATTTTTTGCAGCTCACTGGGCTTGCTTTTCTTAAATCAACAGTCAACACCCTGCATTAAACTTGGTTCCAGACTAAAAGTCAAGGCCCAACTATGACAGATGCCCAAGGCCAAGGTGGGCACTCGGCCAGAGCCGCTACTACGAAAGGGTAGCAGTCAGAACTCATCAGGAGTGAGTGGACACTTCATAGGAAATTAAAACTAGGGCACATAGGATTCTGGCATATTCTCAACTTCCTGACTGCAACGAACGTTTTTGCAAAGATACAAAATAATCAAAGATACTAGAAAATAATTGTTTTTTGTCTAATCTCCTTCTATTGCTTGATATATCTCCGTCAGTTTGTCAAAAGTTTAGGTGATTTGGAAAAACAGAGATGTCACCATTTTAAAATGTTAAAGAGGTTACAAACGGTCCACCTAGAAATATTTTAAAAGGGTTTATTATTTTGACAGTGAGAGGGAGCTGATGGAGGGGATGTTAAGGGGGGGTTAGGATAGAGGCCGGGGAGACTACGGACTTCTAACCACAGCGGTGCCAAAAGTGTGAAATCTAACAAACCAAACAAAAAAACAAATCTAAATATGTGCACAGTAAAATCACCAGTGTAAAAACGGTGTAAAATGTAAATTAAATGTGCAGCAAATTAAATTTTACATTAGTTACTGAATAGTTAACAGAGGGCGCCCCAGTGGCCTAATGGATAAGGCACTTCCCTCCTTAGCCAGGATTTGTGGGTTCAAGTCCCAGGAGGGGTGGTCAATCTGACTTCCAGAAAGCCACTGTTTCATATCTGCGATGGACTGGCGACCTGTCCAGGGTGTACCCCCGCCTCTCGCCCAGTGTGCGCTGGAGATAGGCACCGGCAGACCCCCTTGACCCCAAAAAAGGGAATAAACGGGTTGGAAAATGAATGAATGAATAGTTAACGGAGGCTTCCTAGTAGAAAACAACAGTTACAGCAGAGTTGCTAGTTATAGTACACTGGTTAGCTCTGTTGTAACTCCCTCTTAGTTATGAGTTAACTAAGGATGAGTATTCTAAAGTGTTACCAATAAACTAATTAAATAGTTAAGAGTCCATGTGCTTCTTTGCTGCAACACTGATTGGACAAATGCATTTTGTTTCTGTCGTCATTTTGATTTAAAAAGAGTAAACGCAGTTGTTTTACAGAAAATGGCTTCACCCAACCACTAACTATAAGTGAGAAAAGTTGTTTTATCAGAAAACTTGTGTGGCCTCGGATCTGTTTATCAAGTCAAAGATCCTTAACAGATTGTTTTTAAAGAGAGAGGAAGCCATGCTTTTCTCGAAGGATTCTCAAAGGAAAAATTCCACGACAAGTTATGCTTTGCTTCCAGCATGTGTGTTATCACTTCAACACTCCGGAGGTAGAATGTGAGATAAATCTTTGCAAGAACTCAACAGAAATGGAAAATGGGAAGAAGTGGAGAATCTGTGTCAATGCAGTCTGTCAATGCAGGGGTTCGAACCAAAGAGCAAAACAGGTGGCGAGAAAAGGGGACCTCATCCAGAAATCACTTTTCCAGGTGTTTAAACCAAAATCAATGTACATACCTTTCGTTATTGACCATACAGATATCTTTAATAGCTGTTCCCAGAGTGTTGGGTTTTTGAGATCTCCACTCTTAAAGATTTACAGAGACATTTAAAAAGTATGATTTAAATCACACACAACTCCCTTTCAGAATGCTGGACAACTTCCACCTGACAGGAAGGGGTGGACTCAGCAGTAGATTGGAAATAACGAAAAGGTAATTTTGCCATTTTTATTTTTTATGTTGCATAACAGACACGAGGAACTGATTTTAAAGAGGCTGCAACAATCCGTCAATCTCTCGTGCCATAGTGCCCTTACTCATGAAAGATACCGCAAGATACTTAAACTCCTCCACCAACTTTTAGAATATTCCACTTTCTTCTGGTGCTGATTCTGGACCCGTGCTGCAAAACGCCCCAGTACTCTCCATTTACATTCTCTTAGTTAACAAAATAAGCTATCATTATAACTATGTTTGAAAGCATTCTTTGTTTATAGCGAAACCTGGCACAAGATAAACACTTTTGCGATGACCTGACAATAACAAAGAAGAAAATGAAAAGGTAGAATGAAGACAAGAAGAAGAAGCATTGGGTACTGCATTCACAACTCAAAGTCTGAAGGTCAAAAGCGGAATTTTCACTGTGGTGAAGTTTCGTGCGACAACGAGCCTTGATCGAAAGCCATGGTCGCCAGATGTTGACAGAAAAGAAATCAATGAACAAATAGAAAGAAAAAAAAACGTAGACGTTTAGGATTTTTTTGCTGTTGGTGGCTGATCACTGGGAGCTGTGGTGGAAAATGTATTTATTTCTATTTCCTGTAAGAAGTATAGATCATTAAAGTAATTTTTTGTTTTTTTTGGAGTAATCTCATGGACTACAACAATTGCCTGTCTAGGGTTTCCCTCAAGTGGGAAATTGCATAGCGAAGAATTCTGGAAAACTTTTAAAGATTTGATTTTAACGCCAACTTTAGACTCGAATTCAACATTTGATTTCTTTGTGAGGGCTTTTTTGTATCGAGATCACATTTGTCCCATTCCACATCTGAGCACAGTTGCCTTCCCTCCTCAATACCAAGCATACTTGTATCTAGATACACATAGCGATGGAAGAGGAAGAAGAAGCACCCTCACCTCTCGCTTCTTATATAATGTATGCTTTTACCTGAAAATAATGGCTTTCTCAATAGCTTTCCTACATTTAGATCTACTTCCAGTTCAGAGGTTTTTTACGTCAATATGGCAACACAAAATTCTTTTTCGTTGGCACCACTTGTTCAGTCGGATGTGTGATCTCCCGTTGCCGCTAGTGGTTTTTGATCGAGGTGTGTTGTCGCCCGAAATTTTGGACCAAAAAATCGTATTGGCCTTGAGTCAGTGAAAAAGAACAGTCCGTTAGATGTCAAGACATTCGATTCATTCAAACCCGCTTGTTCCCTTTTGGGGTCACGTCAAACTTTGAGCAAGAGGCAGAGGTACCCCCTAGACAGGTCAACGGTCCATCGCAGGGCAACACACATGTTTTTGGGATTATGGGGGAACCAGTAGTACCCTGAGGAAACCCATGCAAGCATGGGGAGAACACACTTCCAGGAAGATGCCGAACCAGCAACCTTCTAACTGGAAGGCCACAGTGCTACCCACTGCTCCACCATGGCGCCCTTAAGACAAACCAGTGCCAATGGCTCTGCCCTCAAGACATACCAGTGCTTAAAATCATTTAGCATTTTCATCCTGCATATTGCCAGTGAAAAACAGTTCTGTTTGGATCCTTAACAAATTGAAACCTATCTATCCCAGTGTGTGCGAGCAACTTCCTGTCTAAGCTTCCCTCGAGAATAAATAGGAATGTTTTTGCATAAAAGGCATGAGTATTAATAGTTCTCAAGTAGTTTCTCTTCAGAATGAGCAATAAAGAAAGGGGTTTCTCACCCCCATGTGGAGGCAGCAGGGGGTTAAACCACAACGATGTCCCACATTCATCGGCCTGGGCTTAAGCAGAGCAGCACAGCAGGAGAGAGGCATGTCTTTGTCCCACAGGTCACCCTAGGCCAACAGGAGGGTGTATGCAAGCAGATCCAGCTACAGTTTGTCAAGACACTTTTGTGTTAAAGTTACTTCTGGTTTCCCTCCATCCAAAAGCAGCGATCCATTTCCTTTCTCGAAAGGGGCCATAAAACATCAAAGCGTTTCCTTTCAGACATTTGAAAAATTGAAAGCGTGCTCGAAGCTGTTGTTAATTTCACTCCTTCACTCTTTAGGGAGTTGGAACATCTGGGTTTGTGAGAACCTTTGGAACGGGAACATTTCCTCACGTCTATTCCTTCGCTCTGGTTGCTGTTTCAAGGTGGGACACGAGAAACCAATGCAAGCAGACGTGGCTCTGGTGGCTCTTGTTCTTATCTGCAGCGCTTTTTCTTATCCTTCGCTCTCTGTTTGCGTTTTGGTGACACTCCAAGAGATGTTTATTCAGCCGAGGAGGATTGTGCTGCTTGAGGACTGACCTCTTTTTAACAACAGGCTAGCAGGGGAGTCAGCTGTGGGTATGTCACAAATACTTCTATGTCTTTTAACCAGACACTGAAAATGAGACTGAATTCTAATGCCTTGCTTGCTCTTCTCAATCAATAATTGCTGGATGAAATACTGAGGCTGTTCTTGAATGTCAAACATGAAACCCTCTTGAGAAAGCATGCCTGCACGATGAAGCAAGACTACGTTATGGAGTGACGGAATTCATGACATTTTCTAAACTTTTGGCTGAAAACACCTGAGGAGCTTTGCTGGATGGCAATCCTTTTCCAAAGTTAACGAGTGAACTACATTATCAAAGTTAACTTGTAAATTTCTAAGTAGCTTGTGATTTAATAACCTTTACGTTTTACTCGGAATTAGCCTTAACCTACATAAAATACAGATCATATAATTACAATGTCAAGAAAATGTTGATTTATTTCCCTGATTGCGTTCAAAAAGTGGTTGTGTACATTCAGACTGATATATTTCATGCGTGCATTTTCTTTCATGTTGGTGATTATAATCAACAAGTCATTAAAATCTCTCTGGAAAGTAGAATATGACTTACAAATACAACAAAAAAATGCTTTTTAAAAATGTTGGCCTACTGATAAGTATGAACAGTTGAACAGTCTATGGAGTCGAGCAGTCTGTGGCGTTGCTTAGGGGTAAGGTTGCTCAGATAATGGCCTGCAGCTCTTCTGCAGTGTAGGGATTGTCTCTTTTCAGCAGTCCACCCTTTGTGAATCTCAGATACATTTGTCAATGGGTTTTGTTTTACAATCCTTTCCAGGGTGCAGTTATTCCTATTACTTCCTATTGAACCTTTGGAACTGATCATTTTCAGCAGCATTTCCTCACGTCTAATCCTTTGCTCGGATTGCTGTTTGACGGTGGGACACCAGAAATCAATGCAAGCAGATGTGCTCTAGTGGCTCTTGTTCTTATCTGAAGCTCACATTTTTCGATGGGTTTTGTTTCACAATCCATTCCAGGGTGCAGTTATCCCTATTGCTTGTACATGTTTTTCTACTATTCTCTATTAACTACTCCTAATGAGTCTTGCCCTCCTTGTGCGAGGTGTCATTGGTCATCCATTGGTTGGCAAGAACTTCAGAACTAGACAGAGAGACAATTTAAAGGCATTTGTAGGTGTTTTGAGTTCATTAGCTGATTAGAGTTTTTTCACAATATTCAAGAATTAATTTATGGTTCTCAGCTATAATCAAGTTAAAAGCAATAAACACTTAAAAATTACCATTATATGTGAAATAAATGATGTATACATTATGCAAGTTTCACTTTTTTAATGGAATTACAGAAATAAATAAACTTTTTCATTATTTTCTAAATATATGACATCACAATATATGTATACAAGAATTATTTTTACACGTTGAACAAAGACATCTAATCAACATTTCCTTCTGAAAAGACTGCGAAATCGTATTTTGAGCACACAAACTTTTTCATTTACCCGTTACATTATCATCACAAGCCAATGTTTTGAAGAAAATTTCATTTTATGTGAGCGCTTTTGCGGGTCTTCAAAATAATAGGTTTGAGTGGACGTGTAGGTTTATCTTTAGTTAACATGTAAACTTGTCAGTAGATGTGTGGTAATTTTACAAATTTAAAAAACAAATCAACAAATGGAAAATTCTAAATTATAATGA